TATTCTGAGTACCATCTTGGGGTAAAAAACTTGCCGGTAAAATGTAAACAAATAATTGCGCTCTTGTAACCTATACGGTAATGAAAAAAAATTCCGAAAATTAAGCGCCCGCGCTAAATGAAGCGCTAGCGTCTATCTAGATAAAATCACGTCTTCAAAACATTATCTGATCACTCTCTGAATTTTTAAAATTAGTTTTTGCCCGCCGATCGGGCCAAAAATTTGAACTGATTTTTTCACCAAATACGGTACTGTTCAAAAAGACACAAAGATAAAGTTTATTTACTGGCCTTATTTTTCAAAGGTCATCCAGCACTGATCATAGTGTCGACAAAACCGTTCTGATATGGAAAAGCTACATCGAATTTTGAAGAATGGCTTTAAATGAAACCATTTCTTGAAAAAACACGTTTTTGAAACAGACTATAGTTTTTCCAAATTTTAAAAATATGATAATATTACTACTTTGGCAAGAAAAACTATTCTTGGACTACAATATTCAATGCCAAGATTAATTTTTCTACTTTGCAATTTAACTAAATCGTTGGTGTTTGCTTAGGGACCCTTTTGGTCAATTTTCACCAAATTAGCTTTTTGCTAGAATAGCAACTGAGTCACGATCATTATGGTTAAAAACCAAAATGAATCTTCAAATTCAAGATATACACACGCTTTATCCCATAAAAACAGTAGATATCACAAAATCGTTCTATTCTCTTCATACTTTGTCGACATTCGAGCCCACCCTAGATTTAGATATGGAAATCAACACAAATAGGAAACAGACTATAGCTTGAATTCACGTTGATGAAAAGTCCATTTGATCCCATTTCTCGCTGTTTCACATTTTTCCCGAGCAAAATGACTATTTTTAACATTTTTCAAAGCATTATTAAAAAAAAATGTCTTTTTTCTATAGGTTACAAGAGCGCAATTATTCGTAATGCATTTTCCATAGGGTACCACTGGTGTTCCGTATTTTTTTTCTCAAAGACTACACAAACTAGGGAAAACGGATTGCAGTTCCTGTTACTCGATATGCCAGTGTTGCATTACAACCAAAAAAATATATAGGGTCATGCGGCAGAAATTGACTTAAAATGCAGTTGAAAAAGATCGTCTATTTTTTTCGCTTAATGAAAAAGGCATATTTTTAATGGCTCCGACGTGCAGAAATGGAGGATATTTTCTATACTTCGTAAAATGTGAATATGATTTTCTGCAATTTTTAAACCTAATTGGATAAGCTTTCGATTAAATGTAATTCCAATCCTGTATCATCCAATCAGAAGCCGTATAGAATTCTATTCTGAGTACCATCTTGGGGTAAAAAACTTGCCGGTAAAATGTAAACAAATAATTGCGCTCTTGTAACCATACGCATGAAGTAGTTCAACATTGAACCTTTGTTTAAATTCTTCTTCAAACTGTAATAAATTCAAATCTTTTGTGATACTTAATATTTACGTATGTACATGTATATGGGTTATGTTTAGTTATCAAAACTTAAGGAACATTTTCTTTTTCCTTGAATTTTTTGTGCTGTAATAACTTAGTAACGGTCAATTGGTAAAGCATCAGTAATACTATCATCTATTTCGACGTTATCCTATAATCAAACCACTTTGAAATTTGTCAGATTCTGTATTAATTTGCTATGGTCACAAGTGTTTCTTATCTGCCTATTGCTTCACCTATAACATGTTTAATAAATCCTCGGAATACATGCTGTGAGTGACAGATATTCTGATGTAGAGAGTAGAAATTAAATGTAGTTCAAGGTCAAGAATGTCATCATAAGTGTGTTGTAAATCTTTGACTTTTAATTACATCATTCAACATATAAGAACGAAATTTTATCGTTTTAGATTACATAGGTTAACTTCAATAAGGGGTTATAAATAATTACTTGCCTGACGAATGAATTCTTCATTTTCATCCGATCATAGATGTATAACCCCATAGATGAAGCTCAGCACTGACTTCAAAGGTTCTATGTGCGTTGTAATGGCTTTCACACTTATCTGATAATGACATGAACCAGTTGGTCATTGAGATGCCGATTGACAATCTAGACAATAGAAAACTAACAATCAAAAGCTACTTAGCAGTTAAACGTGCTAAAAATTAGAAATAAATAAAATCAAAATATATATTTTAGAATGACTTGGTTATGAAAAAATAATGTTCTTGTAGGTAAAACAATATAACAAATTATTCTCGAAAAGAAATTAATAAATTCAGATATCTTTTTTTTTAGCCAGAACTAATGTTTTCATCATACTTACATATTTACATTTTTAATTTTACATCTTTTATCACAATTTAACTTTATTTAAACAATGTATGTTAACTATTATAAACAAGTCTATTGAAAATATGATTAATAGAAAACATGGAAAAAGTTGAAAATATGCTCCATAATATGTATTTACCATGCTTTACATGGAATGTTTTGGTAGTACACTAAAACTTTTTACTAAAACAAATTTAATATTATATATGAAATATAAAATTATTATAATTTAGCCATGGATGTATAAAATACATCTATGATTTAGTAATTAACTTATTCGTAAAAATGTATGATTTAAAAAGACAATTTCTCTTCTAAAAATGTAGAAAATCTGATGAAATAAAGAAAAGAATGTACTTTCTTAATAATTTTTTCCCAAATTCGACGCAGTTCGACACCTTAATGAAGCATATCAAAGAAAAGTTGTATTTAAGATGTTCAACAACGTGCTATTCCCATTTTCACGAACGAATAGGAACATAGTTTTTATAAAATATAAAGATATAAGCCGTAAAAAAACATTTTTTAATTAACTTCAATATTGTCCTTGTAAAATGCGCAATTTCTAGCCGATTTCATCCATTTTTTCATTATTTTATTTGTCTGTCCAGTGCGCTAAAATAGACATACTCTCACAACAGAAGGGACATAACTGGAGAAGACAATTAAGGAAATCTATTCTGCTGTACTGGTCAGCTAAAGTTACTTGATTGAGGACAACACACATCAAAACATCAAAGACAGTCAATTTGGTCTTTGTTCTTTTCATCTAACAATAGAGAACAGTAGGGAACTTTTGACGAGCTTTATCTATGGGTTTATACATCTATGATCCGATGTTCCATAATATATTATGAATCCATCCTCCCTGTATCTGCAATGATAGAATACTTTGCCATTATGCTTTTTACCAAATCATTGTTCATAAACCACCCGCTTTTTTCAACATAAGTTTCACCAAATTTTCAGTTTACAAATATATCTTAAGGTCAACCTAGTTAATTAAACGCCGAGGCTTCAAAACATTGTATCTTATCTGCAAGAATACGACAACTACGTGCATAATTATAAATTCTATCTGATCAGAGATCGGATCTGCACAAATCACTATATTCATAGTATACTTGCGGGTACAGCGAATAATTACAGCTACAATACTGTTTACACTAAGTTATCATAATATATCTATTATTAAAGCAAACAATAAATGAAAATTAAACTTACCTTGCACTTCTTAGAGCAACTGTTAACTAAGTATGTATTTCAAACGTGGTAGAAATTGTTGTTGTAATCAAATTGGCACAAATAAATTCGAAATGCGGGTCTCATACGCATGCGCAAATTGAAAAATAATCTGTTTCTCGTAATTAAAATATTTTACCGCGAAAATTCTTAAAAGAGTTAATTCATTCGCTTTTATTATGTAAATTTGAAAATTTATATATATTAGCAACAGTAATCATTGAATTTATTCAAAAACATCAGTAAACCAATATAAATAAAAAGTGATTATTAAATTCATTTTTGTCAATCATTGAAAAGAGGATATTTAGGGAGAAGCCCACTGGAGATCTATGCCTGTCTTGGGTTACTATATATATAATATCATTCCCCAAAATTGGTTCAATCTCATCTGGATTGAAATTTCGGTCGACAATTAAAGTCATCAACCTTAAATAAACCTTTTATCAACGTTGTATTTTCAACCTTTCTAAAAAACATTGAAAGCATCAACTTAAAATCAATGTTGATCCAACGTTGACAATTCAATGTTGATTCAACGTTGACAATTCAACGTTGATATTTTTAACCAAAAATCAACGTCGATTCAACGACGTGATTTAACGTTGATACAACGTTGTTTTTACTTTGATCAACGCTACAACCAAATTTCAACATATTTTCAACGTTGCGAGCCTGCTGGGAAAACTTGCCTAATAAAAAGAACACTCGTCAAATTTGAAAATTTTTTTTTTTTAGTAGGTACAACAATTTATGAAAGCTACATTATATATGTATAATCTACTTAGTTATCTGAATATATCATATATAAAGAGAGTTCTCGTTCCGAGAGACCTGCTCGTGCTAAAACTTAATGATAATTGTGATATGATCGGTGCAATATTTAAAAGCAAATATATTTCTCTTCATTTCAGTTCAAGAACATCTTAATAAACATGATAAATGCGATACATTTTGTCTCTTTGACACATTCCCCATTTTCATTCTCAATTTTATAAAACGTCTAGACATAAGTAAATGATTTTTCTTACAAGGGAGCAGGATCGTTACTAGTAACAATGCCTGTACGCAATAAATACATTATATATATGCCTAAAAAGTGTACAAAACAAAACCAATTTTAAAAAAGGAATATGAAATATCAGTATCTATAAATATTTCAGAGAACATATATCCTTCATCAGTATGTTTTTGATGATGTAAAACCATTTGTTTTGACGTAAAGCAAGGTATTCAGCAAACTATATCAGCAAAGATTAATGTGAGCATATGCCTAGCTAGTTCCCCAGCTTAATTTTGACGTAACTTAATGTCAGTGCACTTCATAAAATCTTCATTAAAAATGTTTGTCTAGTATTTGAAGTAAAAAAAATATAACATATAAAAAGGACAAAATCACAGTTGGAAAATCAATTAATGCCATACACATCGTCGTTTTTGAGTTGTTTTTATTTTTTTTCAGACAATGAGGTCTTATTACCTATTAATGTTCTTTATTCCGGCGTCAGCACTTATAGTCGAAGATGTATTCCCACCAAGTTTAGAAGAATGTTACTCTGGACAAGTTGACAAAAACACCACTCCATATGATGTTCAAACGAGCTGTTTGGAAAAGTTTTTGGGTCATATGTACAAGAATACTAGCTCAATAGATTTAGGGAAGGATGCTTTTGACTGGTTCGATTCTCTCGGCAGAAAATTACATATCCGACTGAGACGACAAGGTCGGTACAGATTGCGCGAGAGGAAGGAAATTAGAACATTAAGTGAAAATGAATTAAACAATTTTTTGGACGCAGTAAATGCCCTGAAAAATGACAAGGTAAGTTTATTCGTAATTATGGTAACGATTAGAAAGATGGACTGTTGTGGATTTTTGTTTTCGTCCAACTTGTTTGATAAATATAAAAATTAGATTGATCCTGTCGAAACTGTTTATGAACCAGGGCAAAATTAACCTCAGCAAATTGTACAGACGCCTGTCTATTATTGACAAGGGGGATGAGTTTTTGGTTATTAACTATCAATGTAAGAGGGGGGATTCGTTGGCCAAGAGGTCTTTGTAGTTCTACTACTGTAATCACTAGCCATTCAACACTGTGGTTCTCGACTCCAATCTTAATTGACTAGGATTGTCAGTTTTCCTATCGAAGGTCGGTGGTTTTCTCCCGGCACTCCGGCTTCCTCCACCGATACAAACTGGCCACCACGAAATAGCCCAAAAGTGGCACTGAAAAGTGGCAATAAAAAAATCAATCAATCAATGTAAGAAAAATAACCCAGGATATATATCGTTTGTTGTCCTTTAGATGTTTTTAATTATTTGTATCGTTAAATCACCGTTTAATTATGATCTATAACAAAATTTCCTTTAGATTTATTTATAGTTTTACGATCAATATTGTCATTTGTTTAGATATAAAAAAGTAAATGCAAATGTAGTTTGATTTCTAGTGAGACAACTCTCCACAACAGACCAAATGACACAGTAATTAACAACTTTAACCTTCACCATTGAGCAAATCCCATACCACATAGTCAGCTATTAAAGGCCCCGAAATCGCAAATGTAAAACAAATCAAAAAGAAAACTAACTGCCTAATTAATGTACAAATAATGAACGAAAAACAAATATGTAATACAGCAACAAACAACAACCACTGAATTACCGAACAGATTGTTTTAAGAGTCATAATACATTAGTTTCTGATGCATTATTTTGCATTATTAATTGTTTTGGATTTTAACTAGCTGTCAGTAACTGCGAGTATTCTCTAATCGTACTTTCTTGTTAATTTGACCTGTTGATACTACTTGTAATGTTTTTTTTTTGTTATTTAATGTTTACTTATACAGGGGTATATCTGGTCTATATACCAGCTTTGATAAGTGTTCGGGATTACTATGAAATTTCACTTCTTCGTACTATGAACAACAAAATTATGTCCTTTCTCCTTTTATACTGTATATACATCACACTTCTGGCACCTGTACATGAAAACACAAAGTTTTATCGAGCACCTTTATAGTTTTATTGTTGATGTTCACCCCACATACATGGACCAAGTTTTAGAATAGTTTTATTGACATACTAAAAATTTCTTGGTGTTCCTAATCGGATGGTTATACAGACAGGAGAAGTAAACCTAACAACAAAATTATTTTCATTTGCCTGTATATAAAATGATTGCAAATGGCGGAATTTTTTGTTCAAGGTTAATGTTTTTCTGATATTGTGCAACATTTTACAGCGGTATAATACTTTTACATGTTTTACTTTTATTTTTCACCCCTTATTATTATTAATTTTGTATTTACATTGAACCATAGATTAAATTTATTCGTTCTGTGTATGTTCATTTATGTTACTACGTCTTTCAATTGAGTTAAGCCATTTCAATTGATAATTTATAGTGTATCTTTCTATGTTGTGATGTTACACTGTTGTTTCATATAAGAGTGAAGGTTTGGTACCATTAAAACGTTTAAAGCCGCTGCAATTGTTAGCACCTATCCTAAGTCAGAAATCTGATGTTCAATAGTTGTCGTTTGTTGGTGTGGTTCATAGGTGTTTCTCGTTTGTCGTTTTTTATATAGATTAGACCGTTGGTTTTCCCGTTTGAATGGTTTCATTAGCACTCATACCTCATCTTTTTATATCTATTAGGTCTCAATTAGTGTAAGCAGGAATATTCAGATGCAACAAAAATATGTTTTATTTACAAATATTTATAAACGTTAAATACTGCAATGGGTGTACCCAGCCTGCTTGTTTCTCGGTTGTCATCTACATCTTAGTTATAACTATATTTGTTTGAAGTATCCGCTTTCAGACTGTTTTTATTTTGTTTCATGCATAATTGAGGTAAGTTACACTTATATATTTGACTCAGAATGCAATTTGTTCAATTAATTATATGCCATATTTTTCAGAGTGTCAAACCCAACAAGTATGATTCGTTTGCAATTATGCACCAGGGTGGGTCCGAAGAATCTGCACATGATGGTCCAAACTTTGTGAGCTGGCATAGATATTTCCTCGTATTGTAAGTTGCACTTTCTTTCGTACAGAAAATTACACTCAGAGTCAATAATAATGGATTATATAACCGTATCACAACCGCTTAAGAACGGTTTTGGTCAGGGATATTGTCTTTAGTGGCGTAGGACCTTAATGAGCTATGTGGAGGGTCCCGTGCCTTGATATTTTGTCACCACAAAATGGCGTCCTCCATTCTAGAAAAAACTTACCGTTTTCGATTTTGCTTTCCAGAACAAACGGTTTAAAAAAGTTGATAAATTTATTGTTATTTGATGTAAATTTAAATCTTTGACAGCCCAGATATAAAAACGCAGAATGATAACATATGAACACTAAACGTAGTACTTCGTAAACAGTTTGAGGGGATATTCTGACCTTTTTGGGGGGTCAAGACAATACTTTGACTTGATGGTAACTGAAAACATTTTATTTACGTTTTCATTACATGTTGTCATCAAATAAACAGTTAAACGGAATATTTCTTTGGAATACATTTAAAATAGTATATCAAATTAATACATGCACGAAAAACGATACAACATATCATCACAGAGATCTCAACTTTTACTAGTGGAATAAAGAGAGGGAAGTGTATTTTTTTCAAAATAAAAAAAGACTACTAAACGTGTTCTAGTGATCTGCGTTTTCATCTTTGCAAGTATGTGTTTTAATCATTAGTTGCTCGAAATATCTCAGTACTTATACTTATGAAATATTCTTGTTCGACGCATAGTGTAATCTCCAATTTGGATGTACGCAAAATGATAAATTGTTGAAATTTCCTTTAATGAGTCATAGAAGGTATGTTATTACAATATGAAATACAAGTCATTATTTGTTGTGATCACTATTTTGTTGCAACTTTCACCAAAATAATGATAATAAACATCAAATCACTATACAGCTATATGCAAATAACTTTATATGTTACCAACTCATTTGTTTCTTTAAATCTGGTTATACTAATGAATCACTTTAATATCACCATTTCTATAATACAGATTCGAAAATGCTCTTCGGGAAAAAAATAGCCGAGTGACTCTTCCATACTGGGATTCAAGAGCAGATTATTTGATGAACAAAAAAGAGGATTCTATTTTATTTACTGAATTATTTTTGGGAAATGCGAAAGGCGTTGTGTATTCGGGTCCATTTGCATTTTGGTCAACGCCAACAAAACCGAGAACGTTGTTAAGACGTGAACTCGGAGTAGTTGGCTCTCCAGTTCATCCAGAGAGGTTAAAAGTAGTGTTTACAAAAAAATATCATCGGGAAATACTTAGACCAAGTACTCCAGATAGTAGTTATGCCAATTTAGAGTCACACCATGATAATGTTCACAGGTGGGTTGGAGGAAATACTGGACAGATGTCGAGCATAATATTTAGTCCAATGGATCCAGTTTTCTGGCTTCTGCATTGCTTTGTAGATTACCTTTGGGAACAATTCAGAGAACGTCAAAAGAAATTAGGAATAAATTCAGAAACAGACTACCCAGCAACCACTATAACAGCACATAAGCCAAATAGATTTATGGATAATTTGAAACCACCAAAGAAGAATATTGATGGGTATAGTAATTCGTTTACCAAGCAAATTTATAGATATGCAGATGCTCCGACTTGTGAAAACAACTGTGGAGGAGCGTTTAAAGGATTTCTGTTCTGTGATAAAAGTAAAAAAGGATGTGTTTCCGGATCGAAAATTGATTTCATTAGATTTGGAGGATTTAGTCACGTTACGAACTATTTTCCGTCAAAGGGAAAAGGTAAAAAGACGAAGATTCCTCAATCTATGTCTAGTTTAAAATCTTCGGCTGTACCAATAAAGGGGCCGGATCAAAGTATTAAAAGTGGAAATACTTTAGCATTTGAAAGCCCAGAGAACAGACAACTATCTGCAACTTCACCAGCTCCAAAAAGCACAACATTATTTAGGACCCACTTCGATAATGCTGCAGCAAGAGGTCGCAGATCAGCTGATTTCAGTTTAATAGGCAATAATTTAAAAATTGGCTTTGATATAAATCTTCGCTTAAAACAAGAGATGAGAAACCTCAGTTCTTTGAACAGTGCTTCGTATCAGTTCGACAATTTGGCATTGTCCCCAATAGCAATAATAAACAAACACAACAGGAATCGAAACCCAGGACAAGATGAAACTAAAAACCAAAGAACATTTAACATTACATTTCAGACAGATGGATTCTCCTACAATGGTCGACATATTGACTTTATTTCTATAGATGAACGCACGCACACGTCTGAATCTCTTGGTCTTATTATGTTTGAGAAGCCAGTGTCTGGTGAAACGAAAGCCTACGTGCGAGTGTACGATTCAAACGGTGAAATGTGTCAACCGAGTTGTCTGGTATCAAAATCATTCTATAAGGAATGTTCGGGACTGATCAAGATCACGTCTGATTTTCCTCGTATGTACGTAGATTCATATAACAATGCTTTTGATTCAGAAGTAACACCGTTTCTTAGGTTTGTTTGTGTAAATTAAGGCGATCATTTTACTTGAAAAATATGACTTGTTATTTGTCTTAGAATATCCAAAAATACTGTGAAGAAAATAATCAATTTAATGATATATAATATTTAGCAGCAACCAATAAAGTAAAATAATGATCATAAAATATTTGTTCTCTCACTTACATTCCCAAAGTTTTATCCACATATGGGAATATATACTCTTCAATGAGACAGCAACACAACGACAAGACAACATCAAAAAACATCTCTGACATCAATTTAGAGTCTATATCGACAGAGAATGTGTCATCATCTAAATCGCCCCGAGTTAAAAAAAGTGGTAAATAAGGTAAACAGAAACATTCAATGTCTGCTGCGTCAAATACTTTCGGAATTTGATGCGATTGTCATACAAGTGAGAGGTTTAGCTAGTTATAAAACCAGTTCATACCACAATTTTCTACATGAGAAAATGCCTGTACCAAGTCTTAAATATGACAATTGTTATCTACTCGTTTGATGTGTTTGAGCTTTTGCTTTTGCCATTTGATTAGGGAATTTTTGTTCTGAATTTTCCTCGGAGCTCGGTATTTTTGTGATTTTACTTTTTATTTATGACTTACGATATTACTGAGGAGTATCTTGACCTTGAACAGTCTCATTAGAATGTTGAGAGGATAAACTAAGTTTGTAAGATCTCAACACTCTCAATCAGCAGAATAAAAAAAAAGTGCTTTAAAGAAAAAAATATCATTTTAACTTGTACAGAGATAGCATTGAATTCTAAAATAGTATAATTGATCAATTAAAACATACACCGTTTTAAGGAATGCATGCAGTTACTGACAGACTTACATCAGTCATAAAAAGATCTTGTATTATGCATCTACACTTTAAACCACACAAGCCATATTATTTTTCTGTTTAATTGTTCTCACGATATTACACAATTGTTATGATAGTTAAAATGTGAAATAAACCGTACAAAAAGTGTGACCTTCTAGGATAAGCAACCAATTAATAGAAAATAAGTGGTGAACTGGATTTTATTTCTTTCCACAAAATCAGTTATTCATTTAAATAAAAATCCAAGCCAAAGGTTACAAATCTAGCTGAATTATAGCGAGGAACTACAAAATATCCTTTTCCCGACAAATATATGTATTCACATTTTTTAGAACTATACAAAATAACCCAACACTGCAACAGGAGGCACAATCTGTCAAAAACAAAAGCAACAATTAAGGTTTTTGATCACAAACTTTTGAATCAAAATAATCATTCATATGATTTTCATCCTTTGGAAATCGCTCAATTGTAGTCTTCCCAATCTGTTATTAAGCATTTGAAAAACGTTGTTGGCCAAAACTAGGTCGTCAAAATAGAAAATTGTACTAAATGATTTGCTCCCCGATATTCACATTGTGAAAGTCTCTACAACAAGACAAATATGGTGGAGGACATTTTTTTTAAAACGGATGCAGCACATTCATCATGTAAAAAGGCTTTACGGATTCTTTATTCTACTAGATATCTTATTACTGGCACCCTCAAAAACTGCTAATGTTTACTCTGTTCTATTTCTTACTTACATATACGTGTAAAGAGTTAATGTGTGGAGAAACTTTGTCAGAAATGCAAGTCATGCAATTGCAAGTTAAAATTAAAAAAGTAAAATAACAAAAATACCGAAACGGAAAGTCCTTTATAAAATGAAAAAAAAAAAAAAAAAGTTTAAACATATCTCACGAATGCAAAACAACTGTCATATTTCTGACTTGGTACATGCATTTAAAAATACAGACTTAGATGTCCTATCTGCAAAGAACTTATTAATTGATGTTATTGAAGCTACTGTAAAGAAAGCCAAACTTTTCGCAATATCGCAAGCTCGAGTAAGGATTTGAATTTATCTTAAACTAATCATAGCAAAACACTATTCGTACTGCTTGTGGAACCAATGATTGTACACATTGGTTATTGATTATTATCAATTTACAGCAACATCCAAGTTTTAATTATGCTTCATTTGAAGCTTATAAGTTTCTCGTTTCATTTTATTTTAAAATCAAGTTTCCTCATTTAACTTTTTTGTTGCATTTCGTTTTTTCTCTGAATAAAATGTTTAACATTGATTTTGGCTGAAAATAAAGATCATTTGTCTTATCGTTTGTAGTTGTAAATCTTATAATTTTTTCTGTTCTATTCGTGTGTTAGGGTAAAGATAATTAATCATCAAGTTCATTTATAAGATTTTAGTTTGGGTCAACTAAACTTACACGATGTATTTGGTTTACAGCTTTATTTAGAAGAAATACCGACATAGCTAGATAAGACAATTAATTATCTAATTACTACCACAATTTTATATTTATTAATTATTGTAATTTTCATTGTTATTAATACATACAATATCAGTATTACAAACCTAATCTAAAACTATATCATATCCTATTTTTTGGAAATTTTTAGAAATTTAAATGTGACGTCACTTTTGTGCGTCGATCCATTCGGCTAACATATTCGTATTCGTTTTTATTCTGTAGTTAGTCACCACTTCGGTTTTAACATGTATATCAATTATATAGTCATTTCTTTTATAAATTTACTGTTTGCAAAGGTATGAATTATTCTAAAAGCTAAGGATTTTCTTATCCCAGGCAGATAACCTTAGCCGTATTTGGCACTACTTTTTGAAATTTTTGGTCATCAATGCTTTCATCTTTGCTGACTTTCTTTGCTGTTTTGACCTGAGCGTCACTGATGAGTCTTATGTAGACGAAACACGCGTCTGGCGTATTTAATTATAAGCCTGGTATTAACTATAAGCTTGTCGTAATGTTCTCTTGTATTATTTATTTGTGTGTTTCTCTGTCCTCTGTATGTTCTTCCATTTGTTTGTATTGTAGTCCTGTCATGTAATGTTGTCATTTTAATGTTATATTTAACATTGCCATAAAAGCGGGAGGTTTGGCTAGCCACAAAACAAGGTTCAACCCACCGTTTTTTCTTAAAATGTCCTGTACCAAGTCAGGAAAATGGCCATTGTTATATTATTGTTCGTTTTTGTGTGTGTTGCATTTAGTGTTTCTGTTGTGTCGTTGTTCTCCTCTTATATTTGATTTGTTTCCCTCAGTTTTAGTTTGTAACCCGGATTTGTTTTTTCTCAATCGATTTATGAATTTCGATCAGCGGTATACTACTGATGCCTTTATTTAGAGTCTGTTGAATGTGTTCACTATGATAGAAGTGAATACAAACGATAAGAAAATAAAATTTTTTAGTCATTTCTTTGCATTAAAATATAATTCCAAAGAAAAGTAACCAAAAGAAGTAATTGCCCCGTTCTTATATAAAGTCGAGAATGTATGATCCTTTCTATGAAAGATTCTCTCATTCATAAAGTTATAGGAACGGTCTGATCTAAACATACTTATTAAACAGACAATGTAAACTGTAATCCTGTCTGTCACAGGAAACAATAATAGCCTGATCTGGTAGGGAAACTTGCCATATATAAGCCCCAGGTTAGGATACAATCTAGTGACACTATAAGGTTAGGAATTTCATTTTCTTACTTATTCTATACTTCGCTATATATCAAATATCAGTCTAAAAAGTAAAATCACAAAAATACTGAACGGTAAGTCCCTAATCAAATGGCAAAATCAAAAGCTCAAACACATCAAACGAATGGATAACAACTGTCATATTCCTGACTTGGTACAGGCATTGTCTTATGTAGAAAATGGTGGATTGAACCTGGTTTTATAGCTAGCTAAACCTCTGACTTGTATGACAGTCGCATCAAATTCTAAATACAGTGTTATTTGTGGTTTGATAATAGTTGCCGCTGCAGACACTTTCTGTGAACATTGGTTAAGCATAAGATGTACATGGTTTTATAATGGTAGTACAGAGATGCTGTCTTTAGTCTGTGCTTTGGACATGTTTGTAAAGAAGATACATTATGTATATATCAATAACCCCTTTTCATTATCTTTTACTTTATTACTCTGTTCATTGTGTGCATTTTGAATTTAATTCCCTTAGCTAACCAGGTCATGGATTAAACATTTTAAATTCGTATTCATTTTTATTTTTTTATTAATTTCCCATTTTTTGTCCAGAGCCATATTTAGATATATGCTGTGAAAAATAGTTTGACAATTTGTTTACTGAACTTTTACTTAATAGAACATTCACAATCATTTAACTATTTGCAAAATACTGTGGAATCATTATTATTCGTTGGATATCTTTGGTAAAGGTGAACCACGAAATTAAATATTCAACGAATGACAAATGTCCTATAGGCTTGTATGCAAACTTTGGCAAAACCACGAAATTAGATATCCACGAACATGAAAGTTTCTCTTTATCCACGAAAATTGGTACACACGAAAATAAGTGAATCAACAGTACATATTCTTTTCAACAACTGTCCTTATTTTTGATTCGAAATGAATCACAGAAATTTATTTTTGTACACTTGACACGCTGTGATTGTCACGTTGTTGAACTTAATTACTCTTCCGTGTGGTTTCCTAATACAATAGCTCAGTTCTGGAAAACTATTTTTTTCCTTGGTTGAAAAGGAACTGCCGTTTTCCTACCGAAGGTCGCTGGTTTTCTGCGGGCACTCCGGCTTCCTACAACAACAAACAAATGACATACACGAAAATATCATAATAGTTCTGAAAAAAGTCGGTCAACACTAATCAATCAATTAATTTCTTATTGCACTGAAAACAGATGCAGTCAATTGTAAGCTAGGAAAAAGGCAATTTATCTTTTTTTTATTTTACACCTCAGGATAACTATAAATAAACCTTATGCAATGTATACTTGCATTAAGGGAGTTAGTACGTCACACCGATATTTATTATGTAGATGTATGGGTTTAGTGCTATAAATTCGCTTGTGTGAATTATAGAAAGACGCGTGTATATTTCAAGATATTTATTATACTAACTGGAGACGTTATGTATATAAGAAGGTAACGATGACGTGACGTTACAACTCGTTACGTCAACAATAAGTTAATGTGTCTGTATAGTAGCTAATTCGTTATAGTTGCCTTATCAAAAATAAGACATCTTTGATCGTTTTTATATAATGAATCTTTCTTAATTTCATCATCCCCCCCC